GGAGGGTCTGTCAAAAGCTTTTCTTCACGGAGATGTTGTCGTTTTGTCTGGAATGTTTCACAAAATGGTGTTAGCCTTTCTTATCTTTGTGGAAACCAAACCAGACCAAGTTACAAGTCTAATCTGTCACAGTTCTGCCCATTGTTTACATGATATCTCACCCTGTTCCAGTCCTCCTTTTACAACTTTCCCATTTTTCCTACAGCTCCCACTCATTCCCTAATCATCCCAGGGTCGTCTGTATATACTCCCTCTGTTCATTCAGTCTTTGCTAGATTGTTGACCTTTCAAAAGAGACACTCAAGCTCTGTGTCTGAAACTCTGAATCTGAAATCTGTTGTTTGCAATTTGTACAATTCTTATTTGTAGTATCCGTTTCTGAGTTTATTCCCAGCCTGTTCTCCAATTAGATTATTTCCCAGTTTTGGAGGATATTTTAGTTCACATTATAAAATCATATATTCCTTTGTTGTCAGCCTCTTTTGCCATTTTAAGCATTACCTGTTGAAGGACACTTTCTGTTGAACTCAACTAAGATTTAAGACTGCGTGATACGATTTGTGGAGATGCAACCCCGTTCCGTCAGTATGTCTGTTTTTCTAGGTATATTTGAGCTATAAAACCACCTGTAGTTGAATAAATGTAGGATAGAGCTGTTGGAACAGTGGAATATCTACAGAGAAAAGCATCTGACGCTTGACCCTTCACCAGAAAAGTGACATAGTGCACCTTTAAGTATCTGGATATCAACCAATACCAGTGCAGAGACTGAAAACAGCATTTATTTCCTTAAAACAAAACTAAAATAAGACTGATTCAAATGTGTTACGTATCTGTTATTATTATCTCTCATGCAACAACATGTTTTGTATAAACAAAAGTTCAACATTATGAGACATTCTGGGTCAACTACGACCAGGAAATAGTTTTAGTACATTGATATTGCTCGATATAATTTTTAAAAAGCCAACATTTGAGTCGTCCAAGTTGTAATAGCCACTTTAACTTTACAGATACAAAGTGTTCCCCATAAAAAGACCACTGGGTGTGTGTTGTACAATCTACAAGCACAACCTCTTCTCTTTTTTTGTTGCCAGATTGTGTTACATTGCCACATATTTCTCCTCTTTTGGCCCCACCTTTACACTATTCTTTCTCAAATATGCTCATCCAGTGGTGGCAGGTAACGAAGTACAAAAGTAAAAGTAGAGTACAGTACATATGACATTACTTAAGTCAATTTTACATACTTTTTACTTTTATTTCACTACATTTGAGAGCATCTAGCTGTACTTTCTACTTCACTACATTTTAGATTTGGACTAAAAAGTAAGAAGTGCTTTTCTTTATAGTTTGAGAATACTTGAAATGCTTGAAACTTATTTTGAGCACATTTAATTTGAGTTTCTGTCCCAACTTTGAGCAAACCAAATACACAAAAACAGCAAGAAACTAAAATCAGTTGAATCACTTAACATCAGATAAATTCTTTATCAAAATCACAACATTTGATGCTTTAATCATTTTAAAAATCTCAATACTTTTACTTTTTACTCTTTAAGTGCATTTTAAACATGTACTTCAATACTTTTACTTACGTAGATTTTTTCATGTGAAACTTTTACATTTATTTGAGTAATCTTTTGCTCCTTTATCTGTAGATTTACCCAAAGCACAATGTAACTTTTTGGCTGGGAGACTGTCACCTGCTTGTTTCTACGGATACATCATTGCTCTGCTTGTAATGTTCCACAGTATGACATTAACCAGCTCTACCTTACATTTATTCAGTTATAGGTGGTTTTATTGCTCAAAAATACCTAGAAAAACAGGCATTCTGATTGTGAGCAGGGTCGCCTCTCCACAGTTCTGACCTGTAACTCAGTCTGCTTTGGTCTCCATGAAGATAGAAAGGTTTAATACCATACTATGAAACATTGCAGACAAAGCAATAACATCTCCATGGAAATTTAAAAAAAAAAAGCATTTGACGGACTCTCCACCAGAAAAGTTACACAATGCACCTTTAAATAACCAGATTGAGTGCTTCATCCACCACCGCACTCCTCTGTCCTGTCCTGTTTGACCCTTAACCTCAGGTAAACATGTGCTAATCCCACGTGCACGATCTATAATGTAACAGTGAGCTTTGAGGTCCCCACTCCCACTTACGATTCATCCTCCAAACACACTGCATCGATTCCTCTTACTACCACAACATTGGAATACAATACCATTGAATAGTGAAATATTCCATGTAAATGATTGGAGTATGATAACCTCTCAAAATCTATTGTTGGGATTTGATTTAATGCCAGAAGAAAAAAATGCCTTCTGTACATGTATTGACTGTGTATGATTAGTGTACAAGAAGCAAGGTCAAAGGAAATGTCAATATGAGAAGTGCCTGAAGCGCTTATGCAAAAGTAAGTAAGGAATAAAAAATAGATACAACAGGGTTAGATCAGGTGAATGTGAGAAAACAATGGAGTACAATTAATATTTTTACCTGGCAACATTTGGCAGAGAAGATATGGATCAGCAGTTGGACACACACAAATTTCTCTGGTGCCGTTAACACAATCCAGCCCTTTCTGTTGAGTGAGAAGCTGCTCAGGATGGGTTGACACACAACCTGACCAGCTTCTCACTCAACTCCTCCATTGTCTCTTGGATTACTATCAGTCAGGCAGGCCGCAGTACGTGCAAATGGAAAGCACCCTGTCTGATACTGTGGTTAGTACTGTAAGAACTCCCCAGGGTACAGTTCTCTCCCCATTTCTGTTCACTCCATAGACCTCTGATATCCAGTACAGTTTCGGGTGCTGTCACCTGCAGAAGTTCTCTGATGACTCTGTGGTGATAGGGTGTATCAGAGTTGGACAGGAGTGATCCCAGGCAAACCATCTACTCCTGACCAAGACCAATGAACTGGTGATTGACTTCAGGAGAAAGAGGACCCCAGTGGAGCCTGGAACCATCCAGGGCAATGTTGGTGGAAATAGTGACTGCTACAAGTACCTTGGAGTCCATGTGAACAACAGGCTGGACTGGAGAGACAACAGCAATGCTGTGTACAAGAACAGCAAGTTACTGGAGATCTTCTACTAGTCTGTGGTGGCCAGCACCCTGAACTTCGCTGTGGTCTGCTGGGGGAGCAGCACCAGTAAAAGGGACATTGGGCGGATTGAAAAACTGATCCGTAAAGCTGGTCATGTGATCGGCTGTGAGCTGGAGACATTTATCACAGTGAGGGACAGGAGGACACTGGACACTCCTGCTCACCCACTGCACCAGACTATAGACGGACAGATAATACTCCCTACAACTGTACAACAACTCACTCACTGCACTAGACTATAGAGGGACAGAGGAGCTCATTCTCCAACAGGCTCCTACAGCTCCCCTCAAACAGTGAGAGATACAGGACTACATTCATACCATTCTCCATACAACTGTACAACAACTCACCCTTATGTCCCAGATAATACTCCCTACAGCTGTACAAGAACTCTCCCTTGTGGAAATTTAGAACTTTATTACCTTTTTTTTAACCTTTGTGTTACTGTAATATAATGTGATGTGTAAGCTATTGTGTCCAAGTAATTTCCCTTGTGGATCAATAAAATGTGTCTAAATCTACTTCCAAGTCTAATTACATGCAAATGTGTGTTAATATCACAGATAGAGGTCAGTGAAAGCTCTGTTAGAGCTGGCCTCATGTGTACAGGTGCACTGCACTAAAACATGCTGAAGAGATAAGACTGTGAATGAGAGCGCACTCGCACACTATGTTAAACACAGCTCTGGAGGTGCGCTCAGTCACAGTGATCCTTTATTCCAAAGTCTAATGACACACGATATTAAATTACGACCTCTGATTTCCCTATTGCCTGGACTGTTACAACCGTCCCCAGCATGTGTTCAACCCAAGCCGTGAGAGGGGAAGGTTGTAACAAAGGAAAATGCTGGATATCAGCTCAAGGAATCTGTGAAAAAGTTTATGAAATTGAAAAATGTGTTTTGCAGCCAAGAATTGTAGATACAGAATTTTGTGTAAACATGAGAGCTGTAGCACGAAATTTGAGTGGGTCATCAAGGTGATGGGAAAAGTATCTATTTTTTCCAGATTTAATGTAAAAGTGTCTGTGTTCTGTCTGTATCTAATTATAAAGCATTTTTATTATTTGCAAACCAGGAAGAAAGGCTTGTGCACTGTTAGCATGCCATTTGTTTACTGTGACTGCAAATCTCTCTATAGGCTGCATTCACACTTACACGCACATCACAACTTTTAAACTGGAACTAAACCAGAACTAGACCCAGACTACACCGGGACCCAACCAAGTAACCAGGATAAAACTAGGAGTAAACCAGCAAACACTTTCCTGACTCTTGCCTTCATTGCAAGGTCCTAGATTACACTGTCTTCTGATCTGTTTTGTTCCCTGGAGCTGTGTTTTGTTTTATTCACACATGTTTAGCACACAAACGCACTGTATTTTGGAGGAGTTCTTCTCTCAAACTGAAAACACTGTTCTATTTTGCAATGTTATGTGTGTGTGATGTTTTTGAGGAGGTAACAACATTCTAACATGGCTTAAATCTCACGAAAGTCTATTTTGTGAAATGCAAGACCTTTAACAGAGAAAATCATGTAAATTCCCATGTTCTTATATCTTATTAACTCTGTTTTGACTTCTTTTGTGGATTTTGCACCCAATGACCTCCCTTTGTTGCAGTGTACTATGATAACTATGAACAATATGAACAGTAAGTTCCTTGCTCAGAGACACAACAACAGTACATTCTCAAGCTAGATCCGAACTGCCGACAGTTCAATTTGTGCGAGAATCTCGAACCCACTGTGCAGCTCTCAGCAAATACACTTACTATAGAAAGAATATTAGCCTCACTGCTCGCTACTGCAATACTTCAAAGTACTCTGAAGCTTGTGCAGTAGTAGTTTCCCTCCAGACTTGTGTGTTCTGTTTTTGTACCTCCTACGGTCAGACTCGTGGGACAGTGTAAACAGCAGTCCTCCTCTGAAGAGTATGGACCAGTGCCAGCCAGTGTTGTACCTGACAGAGAGGAGAGCCCTGCACACAAATACAACAGAAGAAATACTACTTTTACTACTCTAGGCTACGATTGTCAAAAGTAGCGAAAATCAGATACTCATTCCAGCAGGTATCGAAACTAAAAAACTCATTCACAGAGAGTCATGTACACAGCTCATTACAATATAAGAACTAGTAGTATGATACATGCATCACAAATTTCGGACTTCTGGTCATCGCGCAATGCATACTGGGAAAGATTTTCCGAAAAAGGGAGCATCAAACCACCATGTTTGTTTTCCCAGTGGGATGTGTCTATTGACAAAGCCAGTTTTTCTACTCTTTTGAACCATATCGCTTTTGTTTCTGGTTCTGATATTGTTATATTTTAGTTCATCACACACATCTGATTCCCCTTTTGCAGTTATGGAATTCGCAAATTTCCGAAGCCCGTTTGTCGAGCCATTTTCCACTGTTAGGACATCCAACAATCACACAATTACGATGTCCGAATTCCGTAACTAAAATATGACAATATCAGAATCAGAAACAAAAGTGATGTGGTTCAAGACTTGAAAAGATCGTAATTTTCGAATAATTGAAAATCAGATGCTAACTGATACTAAAGCAAGTATAAAAATACTCATTTGAGCACATATCAATTCTGAAAAAAGTCATATTTACCGAGAATCAACTCAGCTTAGAACAATATAAGTACACTACTAGTACTATTCAAAGCTAGAGTTGCCAAATGTATTGAAAATCAGATACTAATCAATACTAAAACTAGTATTGAAACTAGAACTACTACTATTAGTACTACTCTTGGCAAGGGTTGTCAAAAATTTTAAAAATCAGATGCTAATTGAAAATAAAACTAGTATCAAAACTACATAGTCAAATTGAACAATATCAATACCAAAAAAGTCATATTTACAAAGTCCTTTACACAGCTCAGTACAATATAAGTACTACTATAAGTACTATTCTATAAGTACTATTCTAGGATAGGGTTGTCAAAAGTATCAAAAATGAGATCCTAAACTAGTACTGAAACTAAATATTAATTTGAGCATGTATCAATACTGAAAAAGACATAGTCAAACTACTCATTTCAGCAGGTGTGTGATGTAGCTTGTATAGTCCATTTGTTTACATGTATGAGGACAAATGGACAAAAATTTTAAAATATTTATGAATTTATTGATTAAAGTGTAAGTGCATTTAATTGAGTAATTGTGACTGAAATATTCTGAATTGTAGTTACCCTCTTTTGGTGTCTGTCTCAGGTGTTCCAACTAAAAGATTCCCCATGCACCTGAGGCACCTTAAGAAGGTTCTGGGGCAGGCAACCATGCTTTTAGGAGGAGGGGTGCATTAATATTTTAGCTTGTTTCTATCTAGTATGTTTCTATAATTAAAACACGCTAACTTAATAAAGATACATATTTTTGTATTAGATTTCAATGGATAAATAATTGATCACTGTTTTAATTCTGCTAACTTTTTAAATATTGAAATGATTTACCTGTATTCACCCGCTCTGGTAAATGATCTTACCCAGTTCAGGGAGTTGGCCTATAAAATGAAGCAGCCTCAGTTTATCTACGTTGAGGTGCTGTGTTTATTTACTAATGCTGCGATGCTAGTATTAACTTTTTGGGTCTCTTTTTTTTTTCTTTTCTCTTATTTTAATAGTTCTGTTTTCGTGATGGATTTAATAAATGCACTTGGGATCTGCACTGGAAAATCGACCTAGTTATATTCAGGTCCTCGCCACTAAGGTAGGGTGACCAGACGTCCCTATTTACCTGGGACAGTCCCAGTTTTGAACCCTGTGTCCCCTGTCCCAGCAGATTTATACAAAACCAGTGATTTGTCCCAGTTTTATACAAGAAATGTCCCATGTGTCCCTATTTTTGACCAATTTGATCTAAACCAAGACTAAACTAAGAATAAACCTGGACTACATCAGGTCTAAATCAGGACTATCACAATTTTTGACTAATCTGATCCTCGTCAACAATAAAGAGAAGCATAAATTGTCATTTGTTTTTCCAAAATACAGAAAACCGTGATTAAATGACCATAAAGCTAAAAAAAAAATATAGCAACAGAAGCCCCTCAGATTATGACTGACACAAGAATGCACAATGTTACACTCTATTTTCACAATTTTATTTATACCAACCAACTCAACCCAGGTGTGTCCCAGTTTAGACTTTTGAAAATCTGGTCATTTTATGCTAAAGTTGCTTTTTAGGCTATAACAAGGTATCAATACTAAAAAAAAAAAAGACCTTAACCTTCCCTGAATAGCTTTAGAATGAAATTGAGCTTTATCACAACAAGTATAAGCGCACATAGACTTGTATACGTCCATGGACCACTGTGGAACCAACCTGGCCCACTGAGGGATTACACAGATACAAGACCACATGATAATATAAAAGAAAGTATTATTTAATGTTGAAAAATATATATTGTCTAAAAATTTTAATTATCATTGTGGTACTAGAGTTATATTGTGACAACTCCACTCTAGGCCAAAGAAATACATGGGACAAACTGGGACAAATGTTCCCATCAAAGTACAGGAAAACAATGTGATACTGAGACAGGAGGACAATGTTTTGAAAAGATTAGAGTTTTTTTCCCCCCAGAGAAGAGTTTAACTATTGCTTTATTTGTTTTAGACTAGCATGTTTTGTGGGAAAGAGGTCCATGCTCATTTGAGTCTAGAATAACAGTAAAATTCTTTTGTTAAAGCTGCACTGTGTAACTTTTATAGTGTAGAGTCTGCCACCTGCTTGTCTCCTATGCAAGGTATGTTCATATATCACCAAGTTAAGTTACAGGCCAGATTTGTGGAGAGGTGAGCCCACTTACAGGAGGAATTTATGTTACTCAAGTTATTTTTGATAGAAGCAACACACGAACGTTTAATGCCCTACTGAGATACACTCCGGACAAAGCAAAAACATCTCCATGGAGACAAATGGGTAATGAACCTCCTTCACAAAAGGTTCATACAGAGCAGCTAAAAAATACATTAAATTTGTTATCTTATTTTATACTTAATCACTTAATCTCCTCTGTCTTTCAACACTAGAATTGCACAAGTGAAAATAAAAAAAGAAAGGGCTCCCTCTAGTGGTCCTTACTAGAACAGTACTAGAACCAAATGTAAATTTGTCACGCGCACCAACGCTAGAGGGGGACAGAGTTACACTGTTGAATCAGCATCACAAGCTAAAAATATTACTCTTTTATCGTGCACTTAAAACTATAAGTAGGCTCACTTACATCCTGAGCCGTGGGTGAAGAATGGAAAAAGTATTTATAGCAATATTTAAGCCTACAACTTTACTTAGAGGAGTAACTTATATAGATCTATCTATAGAGGTTTCATTCAGGTTTCCATTTTGAGCAAGGTTTTTATAATTAGATTTACTGAATGGGGTCAGGAAGTCCTTCAGACACCAGTTTTTTCTTGGCCCTCAGGCTTCTCGTTCCTCATATTCCTTTTTTAATCTATCTTTATCTATCCAATATCAAACATTTTGCTGATCACTCGTTTATTTATTTATTTTTTTAATGAGGCAGAAACGGCACACAGTTTTTACTATTTTTTTAAAATTTATTTTTTATTAACCTTAACAGGAGAGATGAATTGTACCAGGTTGTAGCACCAGTGTTAATTTCCACCTGTCATCCATGGGCAGGTTCATTGATTGATTGTATTTAACTGACCTTGGCTATCAACTGTTCTTCCTGGAAAACTACGTAGCATGTTTTGGGTTGGGTCACTGATGAAAAAAGTTTGGACAACCCTGGACTGTTGTGAATTTTCCTAGGTCCTATATTTGAGAGCTTTAAGCCATGTTATAATGTTGGTTCCTCCTCGAAAACATACTTGGAGTTGTGTTTTGTTTCATTCACATATGTTTGATTAACCTTTTATTATTTGTCTGTCTACATCTCCAAAGCTCCAAATGCTCTGTTCTACCTTTTATTGTCATGAAAGAGTAGATTTCAAGTTAACCATTACCTTTTACCTTTAGTTTAGTAGAGATTTGCCCACTGTAACCTCTCAAATTAAAAAGATGTAACTGATCACAAACATCACAAACACTCCATCGAAACAATCCATGGTTTCAATAAGGAACAACATAAATACACGATAAATAAATGCCATCAAACATATAATCTCTTAACGTAACAAGGACGAACAGAGCATTTTGAGCTTTGGAGATGTAGACAGACTAATAATAAAGAGTAACTTGTGTGTGTATGAAACAAAACACAACTCCAGGTCTGTTTGTGATGAGGAAACAACATTATAACATAGAAATGGAGAAAATAGCATAATATGAACCCTTTAATGGTTATAGCTGACCTAAAACATGTAGAAAACCGCCTCCATATAAACCCACAGAACCATGGAATCAAACTAGAGAAGTTCCCTTTGAAATACATCATAATTTGACACAGATTATTATGAACAGCTACGTACAGCCTTTTACTTGGCATTTTTCATAGGAACACACTGCTTACATGGAAGACATACAGTACGCTTACTCTGCACTGTGCAAATATAACAGTATTTCTGCAGAATCACCACTCCCAGTGACTAAACCTATTCTAGTTAATTAGTAATCTTTCAGCATAATTGAATCTCATTTCAATATCTGGTGGTGACCATTGTCTCGTAGTAATTCAATGGTTTTCTAATTAGTACTTTGTTTGGTAAGTATCTCCAACATCTCAAACCGGCTTCATAAACAGCGAGAGATACAGGACTACACCCTTATGTCACAGATAATACTCCCTACAACTGTACTCCACATACCAAACTCTTGATATATTTGCTATTTGTTTTGGATTTATTGTTACCATTTGTATTGTTGCGCTTTGTTATTATAATATATTGTGATGTGTGAGCTACTGTGGCCACATAATTTCCCTTTGTGGATTAATAACGTTTGTCTAACTCTAAA